CCTGGAGGACTTCAACTCCCAGAATTCCCCAGCTGGGGAATTCTGGGAGTTGAAGTCCTCCAGGCTTAAAGTGGCCAAGGTTGGAGACCCCTGGTGTAGGGTCTCTTGCTTGGGCAAGGGGATTGGACTACATGATCTCCAAGGTCCCTTCCAACCCTGTTAATCTGTATCTGGGGGAAGGGTGACTTTGAAAATCTGACTCCAGACAGACCAATTGAAAAAGCCAGCCCTGCCCAAACCTTTCTCGATCTCATTTTGATTCAAAAAATCAAAAGTATTCTTCAGATTACCAAACTGACAGCTCGAAACTTGAAATGAGAACAATTACAATTTTGCAGCACGACGCCTTGACGCTTAAAGCCCCGTTATTCACTCCTTCTCTATCTTATTCCCCAGAGGAGAGACGTTTGGGGAAACTGTACATCCAAGAGATGGTCATCTGACTTGCAATCTCGTGACTAGGAAGCCGAGCTTGGATAGTTTCCCATGAACTTTGGCATCTTGTAATGGAACTCTTTTCCTGTTTCCCGTCTTCCTCGCGCTGATTTTGAGGGGTTTCGTCTTCAACGCAGGGAAACAGGCCGATTCCGTGCGGCAAAGAATATCGGTTAAGAAAAAATATATTTGAAGAATTGAGTTCGTCTTGCATGCCACTTCCGTAACCCGAATGAGCAGTTCCTCCATCCAACCCAACCAATCAGAATAGAGCTGGAAGGGACCTTGGAGGTCATCCAGTCCAGTGGTTGCCAACTAGTGGGCCGGGGACCATTGGTGGTCCGTGAGAAAATGTTGGTGGTCCGCAGAGAAATGTCACCCCCAAAGCAATTAATCCAGGTTGCGCGGGAACACAAGGCTGCCCAACCACATGGCCAACGGAGACACGAAGCTTGCGTTGAACAACACAAGGTAGTGAGGGGAGGGAGGAAAGGGCAGAGGGGGGAACTTGCCCCACACGCCTCACGCACCTTGCCTGTCCACCAGGCTGCTTCTTTCTGCTTCTTTCTTCTTCTGCTTTTGGCTGCATGCAAGGAAAGCAGCAAAAGTCTTTCTTTCTCTCCCCCAAACTCTGCCAGAAGTGAGTCTTTGGGACCCTGCAAGGCCTCCTGCTCCAAGAGTCTGCGATGGCAAAGACTCATTTCTGGCAGTTTGGGGGAGAGAAAGAAAGACTTCTGCTGCTTCTGCTGCTTTCCTTGCATGAAGCCAAAAGTCTCTCTCTCTCTCTGAGAATGGAGCTGGAGATGGTATCCTGCGATCCCAAATAAAGAACGATCGATCGGTAGGAAAACGGGGTAGGGAATTTTCCTACAGATTTTTGGGGGATTTTCCCAGGGTTTCTGGTCCGTGGGATTTAAAATTATGAGTTTGGTGGTCCCTGAGGTCCAAAAGGTTGACGACCCCTGTTCTAGTCCAATCCACCGGCTCAAGGAGGAGACCATTAAATGATATTGTGTTATTTTACAGCTTTTTGTCCAATAGCTGGTTTTGAATACAGGACAATATTCAGCCAGAAATGGGAACTTTTTAAACCTCATGTAATACTTGGGGCAACCAACACAGATATAAGAGAACAGAATTTTTAAAATCTATTCTATGGATATTCGAGAAATTCTGCTACTCTGTGCAATGCAAGGGTTTCACACACAGGTATGAATTTATAACCATTCATTTAGTGACTGTTTGAAGTTAGAAAAGCCCTGAAAAAAGGGACTTAAGATCGTTTTTCACACTTATGATGGTTGCAGCATTCCCATGGTCACCAGAACAAAATTCAGACCATGTCCTGGAATCACAGAATCACCATCTGTAACCTTCCTAGCTGGCTTTCAACAAGCAAAGTCAATGTGGAAGACCAGACTCACTTAATTAAAATCAGAATAGAGTAGAGTAGAGTAGAGTAGAGTAGAGTAGAGTAGAGTAGAATAGAATAGAATAGAATAGAATAGAATAGAATAGAATAGAATAGAATAGAATAGAAGAATAGAGTAGAACAGAACATAGAAAATGAATAGAACAGAACAGAGATTGAAGGGACCTTGGAGGTCTTCTAGTCCAGCCCCCTACTCAAACAAGGAGAAAACCTATACTAAGAATTCTCTTCTGATCTTATCTGCTTATCCTTTTGAAATCCTTTTGATAAGCTTCTTCATGCTACTTGGATAAACAAGTAGATTCACTTCACGATGGCATAATTGACTTAACAATTATATAAAACTTTGGCAAAAAGGACGCCAAATGGAGCAAAACTCGTTTAACAACCGCCTTGCTTGGCAATTTGGAGCGCAATTGTGGTTGCGTGTCGAGGGCTACCTGCATGACTCCAGTCACTCATCACTACCAAATGAAGCAACTCCAGGTTACACTGCCTGGGAAGGTGAGTGAATTCCAACACATTTAGTGTTGTGGTCCACCGGCAGCCTACGGAGACAGCAGCAGAGTTGGACAGTGGGGAGGAATCCGGGAGTCTGGGGAGGACTCGGAAAATGGTCCTGCGTCTGATACAGAAATGGGGCCAGGGCCATCTGGGAGTTATGTGCTGACTCTGGAGCCTCCAGAATCTGACAGCAGCGAGGCAGAGGAACAAGGGGAGCCTGTTCCCAGTGCACAGAGCTGCCAGAAGGCAAGAAGACAAAAGGGGTGACTCGGGAGTAAGGCTTGGAGATGATTGGCCCTTTCATAAGGAGGAACAAAGGGACAGGAACCTTTGCAGGAAGCAACTTTGTTC